GCTCTTTGGATGAACTGAGATAAAGGATGTCCACATAGTTGTCCCTTTGACCATTCCCTAGAAGGTTCTCTGGGATTCTAGTAGCCACCAAAAATCTCTTCTTCCTGAAAGATAGTTAGACTAACTTTCCCAGTTAAGGGAACCCCAGTGACTGGTTCTTGCCAGTGGACTGTGAATGGGAGCCGTGTGTATTGTTTCATGCCTTTCTGCCAGCTGGATGCAGGCAGCAATGGGACCCCGAGAGGATTCTTGAAACCCAAGTTAGGCAATGAAATTGAGTACCTATGAAATTGAATTCAGTTTTAAATTGAGTGTCCTGTGCTCCTCTGCATAAAGACTTCCTTTCATCCCAGAAAATCATAGTTGCATTGCTGTATTTATCGTTGGTCCCCAAATGCAGCCTTTCTGATATTCATTCCCTGCCTGATCTCCAGGCCTTGAATGTGTGCTGATGCTGCCTTCAGGCCCTGGTCCTCCTCTCATTCCTCTCACCTGACAGCCTCAGCTCACCGTCCAGGGATCGGCGGAGGCAGTAGTTGTGTGTTGGAAGAACTTTTCCATCTTTCAAGTCCTTCTTTCCTGGGGACAGTCTCCAGAGTACCCTTTTTACTGTGCTCATACTTGTCTAAATACTTGTCTGTCTGTCTCCTTCAGTAGACTGAGTTCTCTTAAGGTGTTCATTTACTCAATAAGCATTCATTGAATTCTTACTGTGCAGCAGGCAGGGACCATGTCTTACTTATCTTTTTGTTCCCAGCAAGGAGCACAATAACTGGCACTTTCTAAGTAGTCGGTTAATATTTATGGAGTGGATGGATCCTTGTCTGGTGTTTCACCTATTACAACAGGTGCTGAATAAATAGATATTTAGTGGATACTAAGTAAATAGATGGGCAAATGAACAAACAATGTAGGATCCCAAGTAGCACAGGGAAATGTGTGTCTTGTTTGGGATGTAGTAAAAACTGAGAAGTGGCTTAGAACGCAGGGCAGGGAAAATGCAAGGGAAAATGTTAAGCAAACATATGAAGTAGAATGATGAGGAAAATGATGTTGTCATGTGTGTGCTTCTGTGGATGATTTGTAGCTGTAGGGCACAGGGATAACAAGTCTTGCTTCCTGAAGAGGTGGTGCTTGGTGCCCTTTCATGGGAAGTGCCTTGTGGAGGCAGGCAGTCCTACTTGTCCAAGGAGCAGTCATCCATGAGCCATTGGCACACTTAAAATGTCCTAAATTAAACCATATTCCATTAGCCAAGCAGACTGATCTCCTTCATTACTGCATAGAGTGGTCCACCTTAAGTTCTAAGATGCCAGTGGATGCTCACAGCTCTGAACAGTACTGCACCCTGCATATATATATATATATATATATATATATTGTTTCACATACACAAATTAAATGCCTTTTCTGTCTGAACTAAGTACTTTTCATACTTTGTGCCTCTAACTTTTGCAGTTTGAGGTGTGATAGCAAAACTAACACAAATTTCCTTTTCTTTCTTCATAATTTCATGGTAGTTGATTTGGCCTTACCATTAGATCTTAGCAACTTCAGCATACTTTTCTTTCCATATTAATTCGAAAACTTTCATCCTTTCACCTAAATGAAGCCCTTTATGGTTTCTCTTTGGCATATCCCAATTGGCAATACATTTCACTTGTACTTTTAAGTGAAATAAAAGTAACTTGAATGGAAGCTCTATAGTGCTACAACAGTTGATAACTGAGTCACCAAAAGGGTAGTAGGTGGGTAGCATATATAACATGGACACACTGGACAAAGGGATGATTCATATCTGGGATAGGAAGAGACAGAAGTGGGCAAGATTTCATTGTACTATTCAGTGTAGTACACAATTGAAAATTTATAGATTATTTCTGGAATTTTTCATTTAATATTTTTGGACTCCAGATGATTACACATAATTTAAATTATGGAATTTCAAACTATGGATAAAGGGGTACCACTTTATATAGAATGTGAACTGGGAAAAGAGATAGAAAAATAAGGAGTTCAGTAATAGGAGATGAAGGTGGCAGCATGGAAAGAGAGCGAGAAGGAGAGGAGAGGGAGAGAGAGAGAGAAATATTTCAGGCTAGAGAAAAGGAAAATCTTGCTTTAGGAGCAAACCAGTTTTAGAGGGAATTAACAGCTATATGAAAACAGAAACTCAAGACCAGGAGCCCTAGGAACTGAAAAGTGCTAGAGTCAGATCTACAGCTCGTTCTGCTAAGGGAAAGGAACATGGGAAAAATCTAGAGCTATGGTGGATCCCAAATACATGTTCAGGCTGAATCTCTTCTTCAAAACCCAGTTTTTCCTAGCTTTTTCCAGAATCCTATCTTCTTTGGAGCAATGTGTATTTTAAAACAAATTCCCATTTCTTGTGGTGGTTGGAAGAGTCTCTATATTCCTTATAATCTAAAGGGCCTGTCACCACATATGCATTTTTAGACAGGCTATCCAAGCCCATAGAACAGATCCTACCATTCCAGCAGCTCAAAGCCAACCCTGGAGGCTTTGACTTTATTTAGGGGTCTGAGCCGAAGGACAGGTGGGGTAGACACAGCAGCAGAGGGCCAAGGGAAGTAGCCATTGTACACCCAGGCCCTCAGCTGGTCTTTACCTGGGAGCTGTCTTCAGTTGCATCTTGCTTCAGGAAACCACCTACGCCTGCCTGACTCACTGCCTTTAGCTCAGGTCTCTTCTGGACTCAGTCACTCTTCCACATCAAAGAGTAACAGTCTAGAGCCCCCAGCTGTTTCTACCCCGGGACTCCCCGAAACACTCCTGGGAGCCGAGACACTGAGTAAGCCTGGCTAGGAGCCAGTTGGAAACCTGAGGGTCTTGTAATGACCGTAAGCTGGGACTAGCATTGCTGTGCCGTTTCACTCAAGTGCCAGTGTGAAAACTTCTACCTCCGGTTAGAATGTTTCATAGTCAGTACCTAAGGGAAGACAGCATAAATGGACGCTTTGTCTTTGAGTCTCCCTCTCAGGTATTTCTCTGCTATTTTGCAATAGGAATCATTTGCAGAATCTGAGGTTCACTTATGGTAACACGGTTAGCAAGGAACCAGGAAGCATATATCTATGCCTCACCTTTCAACAATTTCAGGAAAATTCTTTTAAAGAAATGTGTGTAACTGTGTCCTATCTTCTTATGGCATAATACTCACAATGCACTAAGTGCTAGAGAGATGTTTTTGTCTCCTAGGCCTGACATTTCAGGCTGGAGTTTCCTTTTTTATAAAATTTACCCTGCCACACATTGGTTTGGTTGGGTTTAGTTTGGTAGTACAGCAGAGTGAACCCAGGACCTCACATATGCTAGACAAGGGCTCTGCCACTGAGCTACATCCCCAGTCCTTTAAAATTTACCATGTTAAACATTTTAATGTATGTCAGTGACATTAAGTAGATTCACTTGTTGTGCAACCCTTAACACAAACCTGGGCAAGAGCTTTTTCATCATTTCAGATTGAAACTTCGTATCCACTAACTGCCTACTCTCCGTTTCCCCTACCACTAAACTTTTTAGTCTTTATGAATTTCACGCCCAGACCCATGAACTGACATCACATAATATTTGTCCTTTTGTGACTAGTTCATTGCATTTAGCATTATTGTCCTCCATAATGCAGGCGTGGAGAGATATGGATTCAAAATGAAGCCCTGCCAGACCTCCCGTGTGTCTGCAGGGACAGCATTTATCTTTCAGCATTTTAGTTTCCACACTATAAAGTAATGATAACATCCAACTTTCAGGGTTATGGCGAAGATTTAATTATGCTCCTTTATGTTGAAGCCACGTTTTGTGAGGTCTGAAGGTAATGTGATTCGGAGGCCTTCTTTAAGAAAAGGAGTGCAAAGTAGGAATTAAACAAGTGTAAGTAGGAGGTATTTTTGCTATAAATAAAAGGGAAAAATGCTTGACAAGTTACTGGTGATTCCAGTACCTTTGATTTTGACATCATCTTAGGCAATTCTCCAGAAATGCTTACATAGGAAAGCTTCCTGAGGGTACTCTGGCTTCCCAGCTCCAGCTAATTCCAAACACCTATGCAAGCTGGGGCCCCAGCTAAAGCTTGTCTGCTTCCTGGTAAAACGTTTATTGTAGTTAGTTTTATTGAGTACATACCAAGTGCCAGCACTGTTAAATATTTTATTAGCATTCCCCAATTTCATTGTCACAGAACTCTATAAAATAGAAACTATTTTACTTCCATTTCCCAGAGGAGGAAACTGAGGCACGGAGAAGCCACATAAACTGGCGAATACTGCACTTCTGCTAGGGAAGCAGAGGCCAAGAGACCATGGGTTGAAGATAGCGGATGGAGCCCATATAGCAGGTCCTGCTGTTCAGCCTGAGTTCAGAATCATCCTGAACACTGCCTGCTGGTAGATAAGAGGTATTCACAGAGCAGGAAGGAAATTCTATGAAAAACTTTTTAAAAATACATTTATTTCTGTATCCCTGGACTTCTTACCCCAGTTGTGGCTCTGTAGTGGTCTCTCTTTGTTCATTTACCACCAAAAATAAGACAAAGATGTGATCCTGGATTGTACAATCCTTCCTTAGTCATTCTCTGTTTGGAGTCTAGTACAAATTACGTAGAAACAAAGCCTGTGGCCAGACCCTTCGGCTCATGCCAAAACTTCTGGCCAGGGCCAGGCCTGGCACTGAGTCCAGCAGTGGGTGGTCACTGGTATTTCCAGTGGTAGCAAAACGACTCAAGATTAACTCCCGGTGCTTGAGTGCAGCTTCTCAGGGTTTGGAAATGATTTTATATTCTAAAAGACCTGAGTACTTTCTGTTTGTAGAATAAATCCGAAGATGAGATTTTCCTGAAAACACCAGTAAGTATAAGTTTATGCTGACTTGACTTTGAAAAGGAGACTCTTTATGCCTTTTGTTTTCAGTTTATGAAGCAAATTGCCACCTGCTAGATGAGGGATGGTCTGTCATGACAAGACGTCCATGTGAACAGATATCGATTGTCAAGTATTTCACTCATTCACAGTTTTCAAAAGTTCTGTGCAATCCTTTCTTCCTTTTATTTTAAAAGTAGGCAGCCTAACCAAATGTTGGCCTTCTTGACTCTGAGTAATCTTTATTTTTTCCTGATGAAAAAGAAGCATCTCTTATTTCCAGGCAGAGGAGCTATCTACCTATTTATCTACATTCCTCATTTAGACTCATTATTTCCAGTAAGAGGAATGGGCAGAGCATTACTAGTAAAATTGGATTCTGATTCACCTCCTAACTTAGCAACATGTCTGGAAACCATAATGTGTACTATGCACTTTGCTGAGAACACAGTGTCATGTGTCTTCCTTCAATACTTCGGAGGGAGAGATAAACTAGATATACAAAGAAGTCAACAGGTGATAAGTGCTAAGAAAAACAGTGAATGATAGAAGTCAGAGCAGTTGGGACAGGATGGCCAAGAACCCTCTCTCCTGGAGTCTCATTCAGGCAGAGTCCCAGGGAAATGCACCAGAGGAACTTCTGGCTGAATGGAAGGAAGAATCATCAATGAAACGGGGAGAGTGAGTATTAGAACCCAGGGAGGGGTGTTTGGGAATCAGGAAGTCAGCTGGTGAGCTGGGGCACTGACAGTGGGTGAGAACAAGTGGCAGCTAGCTGGCAGGCTAGTGAGGGAGAGCCTGGCCAGCCATGGTGGGCCTCGAATTTGTACGTGCCCCTGCGGACGGGGGTACATTCTTGGAGTCTTGGTTGGACATGATGAAACTTGCGTTTTGAAAGGATCATGCTGGGTACACAGCAGAGGTCACGAAGAGGCTTACTAGAGACTATTTCAGCAGTTAAAGCCAGAGATCATGAGTGCTAGGACTATGCTGCAAGCAAGATAAGGACCAAAAAGCAGTCAGATTCTGGATGCATTTCTGAAATAAACAGGATATGTCTACAGATTACTTAAAGGGAGGAAGTAAAATCAAGGGATCAAGAATGTTTATAAAAGTTTCCGTCTGAGTTTGATTCCTGGTACAAAAAAAAAAAAAAAGACTTCATGAAAGACCAAGAGAATAAAGACAGAAGAATGTTTATAAAAATTACAGAGGCCCCACCTCATAATCCCACCATCACTAGGAGCTTTCTCTAGCCATATCAGAGAGACACGGTGCACTGTCTGTCAGTCAGCAGTCACAGTGAGCTCAGATCCACTGTCATCATTCATGGACTCATGAGGGGTCACAGTTCTGCAAAAGGTACTCTGCAGAGAACCAGAAAGACCAGAACTATTCAGAATCTATGGTGAAACTGTTTACATGCTTAAGTAAACATTCCTTCAGACCAGTGGAAGTCTGATTAGCCAGTACTTCTGTTTTGGAATTTCCCATGACTTGGCATCCAGGGAGCAAAAGGAAACCTGGGAAACCCCCTGTGGTCCTCCACGGCTGCACTGGTACTCTAGCAGGGGTCAGTGTCAGTACCAGAGTCTCCTTTAATAGATTTAAGACCTATCTATCTACATTCCTCATTAGGGACCACTATAAGAAGGCAGGTAAGAGCAGCATATTTTACTTTAATTAAAAGAAGTCCTTTCAAGTAGGACTTGAGCCTTCCTTTGGCCTTAAAGATGAATTTATGTAGCTGCAGCACTAAAAAGGTTGTTATCCTTTAAAACTCTTGGAGGATTGTTGTCCAGTGATGAATAACATCCTTGAGGAAATCCATGGAGGATTTATTACTTTCTATTGCCATTTTATGGACTTTTCTGATTGTTTCTGATGCCAATTGCCCTGAATCCTGTTTGCAAGTGTGTGAAAAATCAAATAGAGTAAAGGATTGACCATAATGTAAACTATACTAATCATTAAAAAGGCTAAATAATAAATTATTGTAACAAGCTAGTCAAACTGCCATTAAGCCATCTAAGTCTCAAGAAATGAAAGAAGAGAAAGAAAAAAAGCCTTTATAAGCAAATAGAGCTGGCATCTCATTAAAGACAGTATGCTGGATTTTTACACCACAACAGAAGTAATGAATCTACATATTCTTGGGCATGATTATTTTTAGACCAAAAGTGGCTTCAGTGAGTTGTCAGAGATGAAGGACTCTGAGGGGGTGAGCAAAACTCTCTGTTCTGGGCCTCTGTTGCAGCAGGGTTACTCTGGGTGGAACCTCACTTTTGGATAAATCCAGCACCCTCTTTCAAGTGCCCCTTCACTGCTGTAAAGGTAACAGGCTGCTACACAGAGATATAAAACAAAGGCTAAAGGTTCAACAGTAGTTTTAACATTAAAGGCAGGACGTGAATCATTTATTTTGAGAAGCAATGAATTGGAAATATTAAAGTTCCAATGAAAACCTGATAATAAACGTTTCTTTGATAAAAGAAAATAGCTGTTAGTTACAAACTTGGGGGAAATTAGGAGGAACAACTTTCCTGCTATGTTGATAAAATTAAATTATCCCTGATAGCATGGAAATTGGAGTTGTCAGCCCTGGTCTAGGTTGACTGTGGTGGATTACTGCACACTGTTGCCCAGTATTAGTTGGTTTAGGGATTAAGCTTTAGGCAACTAAGGATGAGGAAGATAGACTTTAAATGCTACCTTGATTGACAGAGCTGTTTATTTTTGTGTATGTCACTAGTAGAGAGCCAGGGTTTCCCAAACTGTGATCTGATGAAAGCTGTTAATCCTTGCCCTCATAAATGAACTATTCCTATAGTGTATTTAATATAGACTTTAAATCCCCTCCATCAGAAATTCATGATACTCACTAATCCAGTAAATACTTCAAGAGGCTCCATAGGGAAGAAAATTGCTAATCTTTGTTTAACAATTAAACAGAAACCTATTTTCCCAGGAAAAGCCTTTTTCTTCATGTGCTTCTTGGCACCCTGGATTTCTTTTCATTTACTGTACATTCAAGTGTTGGACGGTAGAACAGACACACTGACAGGTCTGTGGAATTTTACTTGGCCTGCTCACAAGGAGGCCCAGAATCCATTTTAAAAGTTGCCTGACGATGGCAGTGAAACTAGACTTAAGAAAACCAGGTGTGAATTGATTTGTTTCTTGATGCTTGTAAATATACTTTTCGGTACATTCAAAACCTTTAGAGATGGCTTTTTAGGGAAGTCTCGAAGGCAAGTCCATGTTGGTGATAGTTCAGATAAAGTACTTTTGCAGTAATGATGTCTACTTATAAACCTCCAAACTCAGACCTGGGCATTGACCTTGGCTGCTTAAAAAATCCAGACAATCAGTGATATCTGTGCACTCATGTTCATAGCAGCACAATTTGTAATAGCTAAATCTTGGAAGCAAACAAAATGCCCATCAACTACAGAATGGATGGAAAAGATGTGGTATTTTTATACAATAGAATATTGCTCAGCTATAAAAAAGGGTGATCTTGAGGCTTTTTTAGGTAAATGGAGGCAACTTGAGACTATACCCATAAGTGAAATAAATCAGACTTACATTTGTAAATATCATAGTGTCTCTCTAGTATAAAAAATAAAAAGCTGAAAGAGTAATAAGATCCAAAATGTATAACAGATATTATAATAATGAAAGGGAAAGAAAGTGCTCTAAAGGATATAACTGTATGTACAAGTATGCAGGATAGATAAGCATACTACTAAGTTTTTGTTGGTTCATCAAACAGAATGGTTTGCACTGTCATTGTTTGATTGTCTGTCCATTTTTTATACTTTGAGTTTGTAACCTGAACAACTACTTCTAAGATAACAATATATAATTTATCAACTAGTAATTTCTTACTGTTTTTTATTTTGACTAGTCATTTCTTACTGTTACTTTTTTAAATTCTGTATTATTTCTACCCTTTTTTCTGCTTTGATTTTTTTCTCTATATTAAAAAAAAATCCAGACGTTACAGTTTTAGTGTGAGCAATGTAGGTTGGTTTCCCTTGTGAAATGGACTGCATGCCTGGAGATCCATTGCTTTCCTCTAATGCTCTCTTCTCCAGCCAGAGGATCTCAGACACTACTTGGATCTGCCTTTGGCCTGTTCCTTTTTGGTACAATCCCCCAAATTCTCATTCACCTGTCCATACATCTGTCCATGTACTTGCAAAGGGTTCAGAAGAGCAGTTTCCTTAAGTTTGGAGCATTCTCTCCTTGGGGGTATAAAGTATAAAGCATCCCTTCAGGTGAGATAGTGTTCAGCCTTTTGCTCCAAACTTGCTTGTTTTGCTGCTCTCTTGGTATCTAATAAAGCAGACATCACACAAGGTGAGAATAATCTGCTAGAATTTGAATCTCTTTCTTGACATGACCATTCTTATGAAAACAACCTTTGCTTTTTTTTTTTTAACCTTTGCTTTTTACAATGACTGATTTTATCAAAACAGTTATTTTGCCACTGTGGGAATTTAAGTGATAACATAGGAAATATGTCATATGTGCCTCTTGTGGGATGTTAAAATAGTAAAGAATTGCTGTAACTCATTCTGTTTGGTTTTCTAAGAAAACAAAAATATGATACAGGTGTTTTTAAAAAGGTAATAAAAGGTAATAGGAGGAGAGAAGCATAAAGATATGTTTCAGTCACAAATTCATAAGAATTTCTTTTTTCATATTTCTCAGATAAACAAACTTGTTTTTGTTCATTTGAACTGATGCAAATAGTGAGATGGTACCTGGAAATCATAATTTGAAGAGATCTAAAGCCCAAAAAGCAGTAAGTATAAAAGAATGTTTAATTATTTTACTTGGCTTCACCAAATTGGAATAAGACAAAATTACAGCTGTAATAACACTTTTGAACGATTTCACTCTTAAAAAATACAGGAATATCTAACTTCTAAAAAATTAGTTGGTTTTGTGGAATATTAGAAATATGAATTCCTTAGTCTTGATACTAATTCTGAAAGATAGTTTCTAACAATAGTGTCTTACAATGCGTCAGACATTTCTAAATTCTTATCAGCTTGTAAGGTAAGAGATTGTTATTTTAACCACTTAAAATACTTAATTTAGTATTTTAGACTAATATGTGTTTCCCATACAACCCATATCCAGATTTTCCTATTCTCCTCTATTATTAATACCTTACAGTTAGTATGGTACAATTTCAATTAGCAAACCAATACTGACTATGTTGTTATTTTCTGAAATTAATATTTTATTCAGATTTTATAAACTATTAGTTTATCTTCTGTTTAGGAATTTCATCAGGATACATTTTATTTGTTGTCACATCTCCTTAAGCTCTTATTTTTTCAGAAGAAGAACAAAATGTGACATACCCAAAAGTTAGGTAGCTTGCCTTTGGTCTCATAGTTACTAACTGTGAAGGTTGGCCTCAAATCCAAGCAGTCACCTGTAGCAGGCATGTGACTAACCTTTGCACTCAACTATTGTTACCTGAATAATGTTATTTCATCATAGATTGCCTGTGCAGGCAGCAGAGTGGCATGTGCGTCTCACCCAGCTGGCCCCAGCAGTAACCGGGGACTGGCCAGAGTCACCTGGACAGATTTCAACAGAATGATGCTCCCTGATGCTCAGAGCCTTGAGATTGTGGAGGAAATCCTGAGGTTTAAAACAACAGAAACTGATTTCTCACACAGTTCAGGAGGTCAGAAGTCTGCAAGCAAAGTGTCTGCATGATTGTTTCCTTTTGGAGGCTCTGAATAATTTTTTTCTCCCTGGTGCCAAGGATCTGCCAACCATCCTTGGTATCCTTTGACTTGTAGATGCATCACTCTGATGCCTTATTTACATGGCCTTCTCTCCCAGTGTTCTTCCTTATATCGTTTATTCTTATAAGGACATTTGTTGCTAAATTTAGCATTCACCTTCAAAGCCCAAAATGATCTGGTCTCCAGATCCTTACTGTAATTATATCTGCAAAGATCCTTTTCCAAATAAGAACTCATTCATAGATTCTGGCAGGTGGGCATAGTTTTTGGATGCAACATTCTGTACAATACAGGGATTACTAATTTATTTGGGGAGAGGATTAAATGAGGTAAAATTACATAAGGTAACTATATAGTAAGCATGTCTTTGAAATGACAGTCATTTTTATTATCACTCTTTTATGTAATGAGTCCTCCAAATATAAAAGTGTCAATTCTGGTACTTGTGTCAAATGAATTAACTTCATTCAGGCATTTCTAGTTTACACCTTCCACTTGCTTTAATATTATGGTTTTGTAATCACTAATTTTCTACATTGAGTTCTACTGTGTTGCTGCTTGTGAATTCAGCCTGTCTGCTGCTTTTTCATGGTAGTAGAGGTGGGACAGAGGTAGAGGTGCCTTCAATCAATACTCTTAGCCAATGACTCTTGTCAGAAACATAAAAAGTCTTCAAGCTTATGAAGGATCTCCACAGGAAGACAGGTTGCTGATGAGTGAACTTCCTGTCCAGTGCCCAAGTTGATAGACAGGCAGCAGGAAAAATAGCCGGGCAGCTCAGCTGCTTGCTGCCCTTCAATTAACCTCTGTGGTCACTGATTACAGCATTTCCCTTTTCTGCTCAGGCTCTTTAAGGGACAGAATTCCAAATTGGTGCTGGGTATTGGCCTCTTCCCCACCCCACTTCATCGCACTGTGGCTCCACCCCTGGCTGTGTTGTCTCCTGTGGTCACTCTTGGCAGCCACAAGACTATGAGCTCACTTCAGTGAATTCCTTCTGCATTTGTCACAGTCTCAGAATGTTATGGCAGTAAGGCCATAAGAAAGCTAAGTTCAATCCCACTCCTTTGCCTTTCTGTTTCTTTTCTCATACAGTCATTGAGCAGACATGCACTGAGCATATGTTTCTGCAAGGTGACGTTAGTTGCTAGCTGTGGTGCTAAGCAGGCTCAAGGGGCTGGACTCTCAGTCTTCAGTGTGTCACCCTACATTGCCTAAGTAGACGTTTGTATGGTCCCCACTGAACGCTGATAACTTATGTGTTACCTAGGAACAATACTTTGGGATACCTGCTTTAGGGCCAGGGGTATAGCTCAGCGGCAAAAGCACCCACCTACTATACCTGCTTTAACTCTAAGGTGTATCTACCTGTAGAACTTGGGGGATCTCTGACCTTGAAAAGGGAAAATATGTACTATCATTTGCAGTAATGCTAATGTGAAATTAATATTTTCTTCTATTATAGACAACAAACATCTATAATATTAGCAGTACTTGAAATACCAAAGGAAATCACTCATATTTTATATATTATATTTGTGATGTTATCTTACAGTGTTGTTGCATATAGCATTCTGTCAAAATCACAATAGTCATCAGATCTTCCCCTGGCCTAGCCACTTAAACTGTTAATAAAGAGGTACAAGTGTCAGGGAATTTGCCTTTCAATATTACAACTGTATTCAATCTAATTGTCTTTTTTCTAATCATGTATTTAATTTTAGGAATTTTAGTACTTTTTCTGGAAAAAAAAAAAAGAGAAAACCTCTTTTAGTCTCTCAGAAGGATTCAAGGCACAAAGAGAAAGTTCAGAAACCCTAATTAAGAAAGGACATCATCCTTATTAGCTGAATCCGAGGACGCCTTCTTCACCCTTTTATCACTTAAATGAGATGGAGACATGGGATATACATGTAGGCCACACGACTGTTCCCGGTCACCCAATTGTTTGTACACATTAGTCCTGCAGAAAATAAAGCATAACCTAGGGTTTCCAGAGTATAGGACTTGGGAATTGTGCTGTCAACTTTTTCTTTTTGAGAGTAAATAAATTCCTCAACCCTTGAGTCTGTAAGTTAGAGATGGGGTTTATTTGTAAAAAGCATCCTTTGGGGCTTAACTTTACCAAAGCATAAAAGGGCAAACGAAATGTGGAAGTACATTTGCTTGTTTAAATATACATACAAGTATAGTTTCTTATATTACCACTCCCTACTGAACATGCTTGAGTTATCTTTTGGGGTAAAAAATGATTTGGAATCATAATACAGACAACTTTTGAGTATTTTTGACATTGATTTGGCTAATACTTCCAGATCTTTCTGAATGTCTCGCTGAGGCCCTGAAGTTTGACAGAGTAGAGAATGAGTCCAAGCAACAATTCCACAATTGAAATTAAAATTTCTTTAGGAAAGATTTAAAGAATTGTATGCACATAATCAATGCAAATATTGATGTATCTGTCATAAATTCGACTTTTGTTTAATTCATTTTTAAATCTTCATTGTATATATAATCCCATTGTTGGTGTTACCCTTGGCTATTTACATTTAAATTTTCATGTATGGTTCAATGAATTAATATCTGAATTTAAGCTATCATATACAGTTCTGCCTGGGTGGTTTATACTTCCATCTGGGAACTGATGTCAACTTTGACCATTGAAGTTCAGGAAATGGAATATTTTTAAAAATTTTTCCCAAATATTTGAGTAGGACAAATAAAAGTGCTGGTGCTATGTATTAGAAAGAAAGATGTCATAAACTTGGACATCAGTAAATGGAAAGCAGCACACATTTAGCCTCATGCATTTGCCTGCTGAATTATGTATTCACTTATTTATGTAAAGGGCAGAATTTAAAAACATCTTAAACGTCTGCCACTTGTAAGGAAGAAAGCAAGACCAATGCAAAGGGGTGAGATGTGGCTGGTGAGTCCAAAGCTTTTTAATCTGTTGAAACAGAATCTCTGTCTCTTTATAGCAGAATTTTTACAGCTTTTACTTGCACGTGTTTCAGGAAAACAGAAGCTGACTGTTGGAAAAGTAACTTATGAAATTTACATCCACTTTTGCAATCCTCACCTCCAAAAATAATTCAGTATACAGTAATTATTGATACAGTCATAATCTTTGTACCAATAAATGATTTCTCTCCCTCTAGAACTTGCCTCCATAGCTTACTAGGGGTCTCTCATCTCCCAATCTTTGTTCCTTTACTCACATAATATACAATTGGTAAAAAGATATTGTTACTGTGTGTGAACATTTACCTTAATGTGAGATTCAAAGGCTTCCATAACTTTGCTCCATCCATCAGTGTGACTTACGTGCCAGAGTTGCCATCTGCCAAACTGATTTCCCTCCACTTCCCAGAACTCCATTTTTTTTTACCAACATCAGTTCACACTCCTATTCTTGTTGCAAATGCCTGTGCTTGTCGTTATAAATTCACTGCACATCTTTAACTGCCAAGTTCATCTTGCCCTTACCTTAGGCTTCAGTGCCTGTCCTATATGAATTTCCATAGTCCTGAATATTTTACTCATTTTGGATTCATTACAAACTGTGCTGAAATTGTACCATTTATCCTTTAAGTAAACTGTATTTTAATTTCTTTGAATTGAGAACTGGCACAATTCCAAACATATAGTAGGCATCCAATACCCTAGACTTGAAATTTATAGATTATTTGAACTTATTTGACTTCTCTGATCCTTAGTTTCTTGTTGTCAGAATGAGAATAATTGCTACCTCACAAGATTGCTATTAGAATTATAGATAATAATTTCAAGGGTTCTGTATAACATACCATAATAAAATATTCCTATCCTAACAAAGCTTATCTTTTAGTTGGAGAAATACATATAAACTAAGAAAGGCAGATTCGAACAGATAAAAATACTAAGAAGGAGTTAGAAGACTTCATTTTCATCCCAATTTAGCTTCGCAATGAATTAATAACTTTTTGTGTTCATTCTTTTGCTTGGTTAGGATATCTGATGAGGTGTTTTAGCCTTCGCTGATGGACACAGATGA